GGGCTTCAGCAAAGGACATGTTTCAATACTGATATAGCCCCGACTCCCCAAGGGTCAGAGCCCATGGTTTCCTGCATGTGGACCAAATGTCAAGACAGCAGCCCATCTCATCTCTGCCCCTTTCGGGTGAATTACCACATCCTTCCTTTAACCCCATCTCATTCCTTGGTCAAGGAACTACCCCCCGCCCCCCACCACACACAAACCCTGACTCCAAAGAACTCAGAAGCATGACTTATGTCTCTTCGCAATTCAAAACTCAAACTAAAATTAGTCGTTATCTTTTATTACTTTTTTAATCAACCATACCTTAATCCACTTAGACCCACCTTTAAGGAGAGATTTCTTTTTTTTTTTAAGATTTTATTGATTTATTTGACAGAGAGAGACACAGCGAGAGAGGGAACACAAGCAGGGGGAGTGGGAGAGGTAGAAGCAGGCTTCCCGCCGAGCAGGGAGCCCGATGTGGGACTCGATCCCCAGGACCCTGGGATCATGGCCTGAGCCGAAGGCAGACGCTTAAAGACTGAACCACCCAGGTGCCTTTTTTTTTTTTTTAAGATTTTATTTAAGGGACTGATTTCATCTCATTTATATATATTGGGTCCACCTTACATCTATCTGATAAAAGCTAGTTCCTTGAAGTTCTCCATTCATCTACGGTACTGTGCACGCCTGTTTGGATTCATCTGTCAACGCTTCGTACATGTGAAATCAACCCGTGTGATATTAAGGTAAACATTGTGCATTACAAACTGGTGGACATTTTATTGTTCTAACAGGGAAAATAGACAAAATGTTTGCACGTGTGTCTGTTTTCTCTACAGCACAGACAATAATACAATATACATGACGGTATCTGTTTTACAAAAGAGGAATCAAATTATAAAAAGAGGCAAAAGCAAGGTAGGGGGCAGTTGAAGAATGCCTCACATTCAGAGATCCTACCAGGGCAGAGGGGGCAGGAATTATGCGTAGGGTAAAGATTTTCACGAGAAAAACAGTCATTCCTGATGTCACTTTGCCCTCATTACTATTATAATCTCATTTCCTAATTGCATGTGCAACACAGCCAGTATTCACAATGCTTTAGTTTCAAAAATAGTCAATTCTCTTGTGCTGAGAAAAGAGCACACCGCCTTTAAGAGCATTGTAACTGACAAGACGGAAGGATGCAGGCAGGATGTCGAGGCTGAAGCTTTTCAATCACCTGCCATTAATATGATTCAATTTATGCTTATGTCATAGGCTTAGACATTGCACAGTGCTGTAAAGCAGGGAAGGGACTTGAATAAAATACAGGGAAGAAAGCAGATGGTACGCTATCAAAACCCTTCAAGCCTAAAATAACCTTTCCCAAGTAAGGAGGATAGTTAATTAAAACCAGGATATATTTACTCTATTCTGAATATCTCAATGTAAATAAAAATCAAAATGACACCACTGTAATGTGGGACTAAATGATGAAATCTCATCTATTCTATTTTTCTTTAATAGTTTCTAATCAAACTTTTCATTAAACAGCTTCATAAAATTCCACGGAGAATTTATTTATAGGGATTCACTGTAGATTTAAAAGCCTTACTTTTATTATTCAATTAAACTTGTTATTCAGTGGACAACATTGAAACAATGAGGGGAGGAGGGGAGGTGTCTGAGCAGTTGGGAAAGGTCGTCATACAAGAGAAAATGTGGATCATCCCTGCCCAGGAAAGCCCAGTTCCAGAGCCACTGCCTGGGTTTGTCCCAGCCTTGGTCCATGGACTCATATTCACGTCCCCCTGGTAGAGAGAGCACCAGAGCATTTATTAAGGGTAAACAAACCTAGGGGAGGCCAACAGTTGACCCACGGTGAAGGCAGCCATTCCCAACGTGGAGAGTCAGGACATGGATTACAAGTGATCTAGGTATTTGCAAAACTTTTCTATTAGCCTTTCTCCCTTAGCATTTAATACCAGACCCAGTCCTGCCTTATTCATGAAGCGTTCCCTGACCCCTCCCATGATCACCCTCCACACACACACCCCCCCACCAGCTCTGCTGCTAAATTCCTCCTGCACTTGCTTTCTGCAACACTCACCAAATACTTAATCATTGACTTTCTTGTAACATTAGTTAACCTTTCAGGTGCGTTAATCCTGTCTTCCCCAATTAGATTTTTAAATCCTCCAAACAAGCAAGAACTGTGTTTTATTTCTCTTTTGAACACCTTCTCCTGCCCCCACTCCATAATCCCATTTAACAGAAGAAAGCAAAAAATATATTAGTTAATAAAATAAACATTATTTAATCATAGGAAAGCAGACACTGTCCTTTTGAGAAGGGCCTTGCAGGTACTTTATGGCAATTTATGAATTTCATGTGTCAAAGGTGTAGCTGCTAAATGCTATAAACTCTTTGCCATCAGCTCCGCCATTCATCCACCTGGTGATATGGCTAATAAAATTTGATTTTTACAGCCTAGGCATACTGTTACCTAAATTACATTTGACCAATTACTGAAGTCACCAAACGTGTGGTACAGAATATATACTGTGTAGAAAATTCATCTGTGGGCCCCCTGGCACCCGCGGTAATCTGACAGAAGTGTTTCGGTCATCTGGCAGTGTTTAATATTAGGAACATTTGTTTAATGCTAGTCACTAATTAAATTTATGTTCTTCTACCAACTGTTAGTTGGTTGGAGAACCCAACCCCACGTTTTAATAAACGCTTTAGCCTGTGTTGATTTCAAATACAACCAGTCGGAGGTTTAAAAGGGTGGTCTCTGGAAATTTAGATGGAGGACGAAGAGTGGAAGGTGGGGGAGGCATGTGGGCGAAAGTGTTCAAATCAGGTAAAAAATAAGTGTTTTTGGGGGGGGTTCACTTAATAAAACGAAATACTACACGAAGTGCAAACTATTTGAAGTACAAACTCAACTAAAAGAAAAACCTAATATTCTAATTATTAAACTAGCCATCTAGAAGCTCTTTAAAGATACCTTTATTCCAAAAGAAAGTTTCCACTTTAAGAGGCTGGAGAAGAAAAACAGCATTAAAATTAGCTTTACCAGAAGAAAAGTTCAGGAAAACATTCAATAGTCAGATGCTTGTGTTTGTGAGAACATTTAAAACTAATTTAGTAACTCTTAACAACCATTGTGATCACTGTTAAATTGGAACTTCTTTCTATTACCAATTCCAGACGCAACAGCTTTGAAGCTCAATGACTAATAACTCTTAAATTAGCCAAAAAGGTTAAAACATTTTTCATTATGTTACATTGTGATACTCTAACTCTGACTAGTCTTAAATGAGGGAAAGCATTCTTTCAGTTTTATTTTGTGTCAGGAATTTACAGACCTCTTGAGTGGCAAGCAGGACAGAGGGTTTGGGAGTAGGCGATAAGGGGAGAAAAGCCCTCAAAACAGAAGTATTAAAAAGGGTCGATTTGTAAATGCTGATCTGAAAAGAGAGGGTATTTTTTGAAAAGATGTATTGGATACATTCATCTACTTGAATACAACGGTTACTTGAGTATTAAAAATATGACACTAAATTCTTCTTGGAAGAAGGGATACATAACTTGTATAAACACTACTATTCTCTTCTAGACCGACAGTCATTTGGTAAGGCAGAGTTGTGAAAAGCATCCGAAGAAAAAGTTTATAAGGAAAAAAATGCCATGTCCGATGAACCGAGGTCCTCGTCCTCTTTCCTCCCTTCCTTCTTGGATCATCCCCTCATGCTCACCACTACTTACAAGCCCCCTATAGCAGGTAGAGGGCTACTGGGGTCAGGAATAATCAGATTAGAGAGGCCACAGTGGATTTCCCAAACCATGCTGAGGCCTGTAACAGTTAAGCAGAATAATCTGATCTGAATAATCCACAAACTGGGGAGCCTTGGGAAGACCTTAGCCGACAAAATCAAGGAATGTTCTGACTCAAAATGACCCCAGCAGTGCTCTCTCTGGGCCACGGGTCTCAGCTTCTTCTCCGCCCAGGTCCCCATTTAGCATGGGTCAGCCATTACACTGGTTGCACCGTGGTGGCAAATCCCAAAGAAGGGGTAGGGCACGAGGTGGCGGCGGGGAGAAGGTCTCATGCCTCTGTAAATGCAGGAATTTCCAAGGAACATGTCTAGGCTGATAAAGTACCCCCAGGGTATTCTGATATCCCTGCCCAGCCTGTTGAGAACCACTGATATGATCCAATCTCTTCAACAAACAGATGAGAAACTGAAGATGTGAGAGATGTGATCCTGGCTTGCCTCCAGCCATTTACTGCATCATGCAAAGGCTCCCAAACCTATGATATATCTTCTCCTTTGCTTCTATCTAGAGAGACACATGACTGATCAGCTAGGAGAGATGGAGATAAAATTATGTGTGCATATATCCATCTTTGGGGGGCACAGTGTATAAAGATATATATATACAGACACATATATATATATATATATATATTTGAATATAGACAGATATATAAATATCTATACATATTTTTATACACTGTGCCCCCCAAAGATGGATATATATGTATCCATACATGTACATGAAAAAGTTAAGGGGCGTAGGGATCTATCATCAATCTATCTGTTGACCTTATAGTACAGAAGTGGTTACAATTGGTGCATTTTTATAGTTCCTTATCACACTGAAAAGGGAGTTATCAGTTAAAAAAAAAAGTATCTGTGAATAGCCAAAGCCTTTTAAGAAAGAACGAACATGAAAGCTTCCTGTCCTAAAGTCCAATTTCAAGGTCGACCAAGCAACTTCAGACCCTATATTGAACAACAAATTCTAAATAATTACCCTTTACCCTGGCCAACAGAGGCTGCCCAGGAGGCGATGATGCTTTATGCCACGATAATTTGGGGGGGGAGGGGCTGGCTGGCACATAGAGCTGGTGAAAATAAGCCTTGCTCCCATCACCGCTCTTCACAAGAACCCAAAGCAAGGAAACACACAAGCACAAGTTTCATGTGGGAAAACAAGCAAACAAAAAAAAGACTCACCAAACTCATCGCATATACTCTCATTTTCAATGAGCGTCGGGTGGTCAAAGGTGTCCCTACAGTACAGGATCTGGGGGTTCTTGCTGACCACGGCGATGCCCCCCAGGGCTAGCGCAAACTGGTCTGTTAGAATGGAAGATGGCTTATCCTGGATGCGCTTCAGCATCGATCGGTACCGGCAGTACTGAGGGTAGCTGAGAACGATCACGTTCGTTTCTTCCTCGTCCTCCCCTAGACAAACAAGAAAACACTTCCGTTACCCTCTTGCCTCCCACAAAGAACCGTCATGGCCATGGCATAATTGCATTTGTCACTCTGCTTTGGTATGAAAACGTGTCTTCAGTGAGACCCTGATACCCGTTCATCTTTCTCCCCGTCTGGGTTACGGTGGCATTCTCCCAGCCTCACCTCAGCACCCCAGTTCCACTAAAAAAGCCTCGGGTTACCAGCAGAGAAGAGAAAAGGTGGAGAGAAGAGAGAGAGTCGGGGTGACCTCATAGACAGATTATGCGAGGTTTGGGTCATCAGCAAGCAGCAGAACCAAAACAGTGTTTTTCAAAGAGTCTGATATATATTTCAAGCGTTAGAGTCATCATCACCGGAAAAATCAGAATTTTGTTGAGCTTCTGTCTACATAAATTTCCAGAGCCTGCTCTTTCTTTAGATTATATAATCTTTCAGTGCTAGAAGGGCCTGAAGAGGTCATGTGGCCCCAGAGAGACGTCCATAAGTTCAAATAGCATCATCATCTAATCTGGTAGTGGTTAGGGCTGTTCAACAAATATTTCTGGTTCTCTTTACGGTCTTGTGGAAAGACCACGCGTCCTGGCCCATTGGCATCAAGTGGCCCTGTGACTTGTTGTGGCCAATAAAATATGACAGGAGTGAGTGGCGACCTTAGGGGCCAGTGTTTGACTGACAACACTCTCTCTTTCCCTTCATCCTGGGCACCTGTCATGAGTCAGATAGCAGCTGGGCTGCTAGTCAGGGTCTTGGAACAAGAGCTACGTGGAGCAGAGCCCCTCGTCGGTCTGCAATGGACATAGACACAAGCACAAAGGAAACCTTTGTTGTTTTAAGTGAGGCTGTGATCTGGGGGTTATTTGTTTTTGCAGCATGATCCATCCCGACTTGATTGATACATCCACCTTCCTTGCCCTCCCCCTTTCCCATGCTCCCTATTTTCTAATGTGCCTCAAACCCATCTGGTAACTTGGCACAACTCAGAGAACCATGCTGAGAGGACTCCCCAAGCGTCCTGTGACAGCTCCATCAGAACCAACTTAGCTCAGAACGTTTCAGCAACTTTCACGAAGCTCCCTTTTACCGCTTATCTACACCTCACGATATTAAGCACTTATTTATAAAAACCAGATTCGGCCTGGAGGACCCCTTCCTTCATCTTAAGCTTGAGAAATGGCAAAAGCTCCCCTTTGGTAGCCTGCCACCTGCATCATGTCACGATGAATTTCGGCTCCATGACCTAGTCTGCCATCACTCCCTATAACCACACCATCAGGGCGTTTGTAAGCAATTCCCAGATATGTCACTGGCTTATCCAAAGGGAAAACACTCAATATTTTGAGCTCTTACCATGCTGCAGGGAATTGCACAAGACAGTTGTTAAGGATACCAACATTATCGTGGCCATCTGGTAACCAGTGGGAGACAAATGAGGAAGGACAGAACAAATGATGGAATCTAACCAGTACCAGTGGAAGGTGTGCATGTGACCTTCTCAGATAGGAGGCCAATACCCAGATGTATTTCTAATTATGTTCACTTAGTTCCTCAGGCTGGAGGCTTCTTCGAGAATGGAGATGTTTAGCTGCTTTCAAGATGACATCTTTTAACAGTTTACATTTCTTAGACTCCTGCCTGGTCTGTGGGTATCCACTTTGTCAGCTGGCATATTTAATTACAAGGAAATATGTTTACATTGGACGCAAGTCCCCAAATGAAGTTCAGTTTTGAAATGCTGATATACGTCCCAAGACACTTCAGTTTGAGATTTTTACTGCAGACCAAGACACGAGTTCACACTTTGGGTTCAAATGTGTGCTTTCTAGAAGAGCTAAAGCACAGAACGTTTGACTGGATATTTTCATCAAACATCATCAGAAACCCCAGAGTACCTAAGTCCTATTCGAAGAAGCAGCCCCCGAATGTGTCAATGGTATTATAATCCTCTATTTGTCCAAGACACCATGGATGAGGGGGAGGGGCGTAACCACGAACCCCTGGACTTGTATCGGCATGCTCAGCATCTAAGACCGTCTCCTGCATATATACTGTGCACACAGCTCCCACCATTCTATCTTGGTTGTGCTACTGGATTCTCTACCGGAGGGACGGCTGTGCTGGTTTCTCCAAGTTCTTGGGATGGAGGAAGCTCTGCTTTTCAGGCTGAATGACGGCAAAAGAATGGATCCTTCAGAGTTCATTTTCTAGCAGACGATGTCACCTGGATTCTTGGGAGCATTTCACTGCTTCTTGTCCCCTCATTCTCCTCCTGTTTTTCTCCAACCATTTTTCATGATAATGCCATCTCCCTCCTGTTCTTCTCCAACCATTTTTCTTTCTTTCTTTTTTTTAAAGTTTTTATTTATTTATTCGACAGAGAGAGACAAAGCGAGAGAGGGAACACAAGCAGGGGGAGTGGGAGAGGGAGAAGCAGGCTTCCCGCGGAGCAGGGAGCCCGATGTGGGGCTCGATCCCAGGACCCTGGGATCATGACCTGAGCCGAAGGCAGACGCTTAACGACTGAGCCACCCAGGCGCCCCCAACCATTTTTCATGATAATGCCATCTCTAACCTCTTCTTAATTCTCTGTTGTGGATGCAGTCAGCTCCCTGTCTATCTTTGGTGCTTAGAAATGACCTGGGTTTTTTTGATTGTTTGTTTTTGTTTTCTCTTCACCTCATCCTAGCTTGAAACATTTATCCTTCTTTCTTCATGCAGTTCCCAAAATACAAGCCAAGTCATGAATCTGCTTTCTGTTGAAGAAAAACCAGCAAGTTCCCTCTGGTCCACGTCCTGGAGATGTGTCCTATGATGTCCATTCATTCTGGAGAAAGCCTCTTTCAGAGAGCTCCCGGGCCTGCCCACATCAGAATCACATAGGGTAACTGGAAAAAGGCAGACTCCAGGGGCTCATCCAGAACCACTAACTCAGAATCTCTAATTTACATTTTTAACAAGCTTCCAGGTAGCTCATGCACATTAAACTTTGAAACCACTACCTCTGAGTCTGAGTTTAGAGTTTTGCACAGACTTATAGTAATTTATTTAGTTTGGGTTTTGATCTCTCTCTTTCTCTATGTATGTGTGTACACACACACACACACACACACACAAACACACACAGCTTCCTCCACTTTCGATGGGCTTATGTCCCGACAGCCCCTTGTCAGTTGAAAATATCCTAAGTTGCAAATGCATTGAATACATCTCACCTACCAAACACCATAGCTTAGCCTAGCCTACCTTAAATGTACTCAGAACACTTCCATTGGGCAAAATCATCTAACACAAAGCCTATTTTATAATAAAGTATTGAATATCTCATGTCATTTATTAAATCCTGTCCTGAAAGTGAAAAGCAGGACAGTTTCACAGGTATAGGCTGGTTGTGTGTTGGACGTTCACCCTCGTGAGCACTTGGCAGCCTGGGAGCTGCGGCTGGGGGTGGATGCCCGGCACCACAACAGTATCAAGCCATGTACTGCCAGCCTGGGAAAAGATTCAAATTCAAAATTCAACGTACGCTTTCTACTGAGTGCATTATTGCTTTTACGCCATTGTAAAGTCAAAAAATTGCCAAGTCGAAATGTCACAAGTTGGGGTTTCTAAGTATATATATATATACTTATAACCTGTTTTCAGGTATATGCTTCTAGCCAAACCCCCACTGTACCCAGAACAGAATAGGACAAAATTCCCTTCTCCTTGCCACTCTCCCAGGATTGTTGTAGGTCGCATAGAAGACAGCAAATGAAAAAAGACCTCGTAACCAAAAATAAGAGGGACAGAGGGACTGTTGGTTTAGAAATACTACCATGATTTCTGGTACTGATAGGAAAACACAAAAATTTACACTGGTCTTTCACAAATCACATCTCTTTTGCTCCTCACAACAACCGTCTTCGTAGGATTACGACTCGTGAATCACCGCGATTCAGAGGCGAGGTAACAGGCTGAGACACCCAAGTGACTAGCCCAAGGCTCTCAAGGACGCCTTGAAAGAGAGTGACGGATGTGAGACTGTCACCCAGTCTTTTCATTCCAAGTTTGATGGGGTTTTCATTATGACAAAATGTCACAAATACTAATAATAGTAACATCATTATGATCATTAAGGTAATACTTTGATTTCTCTTCCTACGTGGGTGTGGTTGAAGGAAAATCTTTGTTTCTTTGCAGTTCATTATTACTATTTATTTTTTTATTTTTATTTTTTTAAAGATTTATTTATTTATTTTGAGAGAGTGAGAATGAGAGAGAGAGAGAGAGAGAGTACATGAAGGGGGGAGGGTTAGAGGGAGAAGCAGGCTCCTCGCTGAGCAGGGAGCCCGATGTGGGACTCGATCCCGGGACTCCAAGATCATGACCTGAGCTGAAGGCAGTCGCTTAACCGACTGAGCCACCCAGGCGCCCTACTAGAGATTTAATTAAGGGACAGTATTGGGGATGGGGATGATGGCCTTTGGTCACGGGAAATCTGAAACTTCTGTGTCATCAAGAACTGCACAATTCAGCCAGTTATAGGTCAGAATTTCACTCCGGTTAAGTTAGCTTGTTGTGATTTTGGAGCACTGCAACTCACTCCGCCATGATTTAACAGTACGGACACATCTTTCATGCACAGTGGTCCCCCCCGCCCCATCAGAGTTTTCGCTTTCTGCAGCTTGTGGTCAACAACGGTCTGGAAGCAGACGCTGCACTCTGAACACATCATGAGAAGGTCAGTAGTGGCCTAACGCTATGTCACAGTGCCTACGTCATTCATCCCATTTCTTCTCGTCACTCAAGCATTTTACTATCTGACGTCACAGGAAGAAGTGTGAGCACAGGACAATAAGGTCTTTTGAGAGAACGAGACTACTTTACTGTCCAATTTTACTATTAGTTATTGTTATTAATCTCTTACTGTGTCTAACTGATAAAGTAAACTTTTTCATAGGTTGTATGATTAGGAAAAAACAGTACAGATAGGGTTTGATGTTATCTGC